GAACCGGGGTCGGCGCGGCCATCCTCGCGGTGCTGCTCTTCGCGAGTTTCTTCCTGTTCTTGCGCCGCTATCGCTCGACGAGGCTGAAGCAAGCCGGAAGTCCCGTCACTGGGGATACGCCGGGTTCTGACGGCGCGCATGCGGGGGCAGCTGAATTGGGAGATACAGGGAAATTCGCCGCCGAGCTGGGAGAGGCCGGTGCCGCCAAAGTAGACGCTCAAGAGCTCGACACCTAGAAATAGGAGCCAGCTGCAGTCGAGCTTCCTCATACCGATGTTATCCCTGAAATGGACTCCTCTGACCCCTTGACAACGGCAGAGCTGGACGGAGGATCTTGGTCGCCCCAAGGGTTGGGGCCTCCATCGGCCGCCGCTGATGAGACAAACAGCCCACAACACCCACCACCCGGTGTGGTGGCAAGCCAAGAGACCGCGGGAACCGATCCCATGCCAGACCCAACCAAATTGGCCGATATAGCGCCTGCCACGGGGATTGACGACGTAGCTCGGCTCAGAGAAGAGTACGAACGGCTCGAGTCGCAACGGCATATGCTCCTATAGCTGCAGAGGGTGGAGAAAGAATAGGCCACACTGAGGGAGAAGATCTCAGCGGCAGAAAAAGCGGAACGGTCGCGAGGGTAGGTGGTGGGAAGTAACAGGCCATATCTGTTTCTGACTAGCGATGCAACTCGGATGATCATCCACCAGGCAGCTCCGCAAACTTGCCCCCCTCACTGCCAACGAGCTCCACCAACCCCCCATGCTTCACTTTCAGTCGCCCCCTCCAAGCCTCTGCCTTTCTCTTGAGAATCACCCCCTCGTCCGAGCCCCCTATCCCCTCGACAAGCTCATCGATCTTCCCCTGGAGACACCCAGCCTGAACCGCATCCATCACCCCGCTCTCGGACTCTAGTTCGGCCTTCATGATCGCGATGACCACGAAGCCGAGCTCTACCTGCTTCATGTATATCCCCTCCGTGCTCATCTTTGCACACCCCAGCGCACGAGTTACGCTCTGTTCTGCCGATCGAAGGTGGGCCATGGCCTTCGGCGCGTTCTTCTGCTTTGCGCAGGCAGCTTGAACGAGCGCGTCCGAGACACCAAGATGGGCTGCGACCAGAGCTGAGATGACCGCTTCCGATGTGGTAGGGAGGGGTTTGAGCTGGGAGATGGCAAGTTTGAACTGATCAAAAGCAACGTTGTATTGCTTGAGAGCCAAGTGGTGTGAACCGCTGGCCAGGGCAGTGGAAACGGCCGAGGGGAGTGAGTTCGATGGTGAGTTCATGGAGCTTAGAGAGCTCGGGGTGCTGGCTTTGGTGAGAGGGGTGCCTGGAGAGCTGGAGGAGGGGGTTGCCGCGTAGGTCGTTCCTGAGAGGATAGACGGTGTGCCCTGACCCTGACTGGGGGTCATTGGTAGTGGTGGGATGTAAGGGAACGATGAGATGGAAACGTTGGATGTGGTAACTCCGCCGAGGGAGAGATGCGAGATAGTGGCTGTTTCCAAAAGCTTGTTGGCTTTATCCCAGGATGCATGATCTGGTGGGTGGCTTGGAGGAAGTCGAGACGCCGTGGACGGCGGGGCAGTTGGTGCGTATTGTGCGACAGGATACCCAGATAGACTCAGCAATGTGCGAGCACATTTATCCAACTGCTGGCCCATCGTCTCGAGGTATGTCTCGACGTATTCCTGGACTGCCTCGTGCTTCTCCCAATCGTCAATACCGACCGCATGGAGCCTTCGCGGGACATTGAAACGAAAATACCGGCCACTCTCGTGAATTCGTCGTCCCGTTGGCCCCTTGACGAACTTGGCGGCTACCTCCTCGCAGTCAAGTGATATCTGCACGCAGGCGCGGGCCACCTTGAGGAGAAAGCGGCTATTCTCAAGCGAGGGGACGTCGGCCACGCCAGTCCCAATGCTGATGACGCAACCATACTCTCGGTCGGGGTCGATATCGCACGCCTCAGAAAGTGTCTCGTTGATGGGGTTGTTCAGTCGGAACGCGCCATCGAGCAACGTGAGGCCACAGTCCTCTATAGTAATGGGTTCAAAAAGGGGTGGGGCTGCTGATGTTGCCCTCGCGGCTTGCCATATCTTGACCGAATGGTTTGCTTGGCCTGGATCCCGCGGAGTGTACGTCCGCAAAAGCACTGACGATGTTGTATGCATCCGAGTTGCGCATACGAAGACGCGGCAGGCTGGGTTGTCCTCCTCAATCATCCGGGCTTCAGGGTCGCCTGTTCTTGTCTCCAGTATCTTGCGGAGCTCGGCTTCGAGAACGCTCGCGTCGTAATAGGTCTTCGCTGTTGCCAATGCCATACGTTTAGCAAACCAGTTGCCTCTGCTCGATGGAAATATGTGTTGGGAGAGCGATCGAAATGTCGCCACGGCCTCGGGGACAGACATCTTCAGACGGCCAAGAAGAAGTGCGATCAGACTGCGGGGTTGGAACAGATCGATGTTTGTCAGCGGACGAGACACCCAAGATGCTTGATGCAAAAAGCACTTACCCGCCTGTCGATGTTCCTCCGATGAGGTCGAAGAAATCGCTGGGAATTAGGGGCCGAACCGCATCACCCAACTCGCTGGCGACCACGGACTCCATCGTGGTGAAAATTCGCTCCAAGATCAGGAGCTCGGCCAGACCCCGCACGCCCCCGCCGTCTGCCCGTGTCGGTCAGCATTGTCCTGTTTGTGTCGATGAGTGTCGTTGCGGAGGCCTACCGAGAGATAGAATTCGCCATGGTCGCGAATTCCCCGGCGCCAGGTCTGAAGATGTTGCCGTCGGAAACTCCAGCATGACGATTGCGATCACCGTCAAAGTTGGAGAATGGGAAAACCCCAAAAGGACGAAATCCGACTTCGATCAGGATGCCCGACGATCTCGTGCGGCTGAATGTGATCATGCAAGCCCACTTCCCATTTCGGCAGCGCCCGAAGACCTACTGCCAATAGTGGATATTTGAGGCGCTTCGGTCGTCGAGAACCAGGTCGAGAACGTCTTGGCAGAACGCCCGTCAGGAACAAAAACCAGGGGGCATCCCCCTCCTCGCGAAGGTGGGTTGGCGTTGGGTCTCGACATCGCACAGCCATGAAGATCACGGCCAAACCGGTACCGACGAGCGCTCCGGGGCTGTTGAGGAGGCAAGACGCAGCAGTCTGCGGCCGTGACGGGACTTCGCGTATGTTCTCGAGCTTGTGCCCATGTGGAATCCAGCACGCAATACTGACATCAATTTCGAGCTTCAAGTCGTGTCGTGTTTGCCATCGTCGACGTGCGCCCTTCGCGTCAATTCGGTGGATGGAAAGGACCATGCCGGGTGCCATTCGGCTGGGGACGTGATCCCCACCTCCTGCACCGACTTGTCCACGGCGTGCACGTCCTGTTTGACGACCGAGGGCCTGTTGACATGGTAAGGAGAATCAAGAAAATGACCTTACGCTCGCGGCCAACTGACAGAGGTTCAGTCTCGGCAATATGTACTGCGCGACTCGATTTTGGTATCCAGAAGTCACAGGAGAGTTCGAAAAGCCGTTGGCAACGAGTTACTGGTGCAACAAGGGGACATTCCTTCAATTGACTGGGACGTACTTGCCATCTTCGGATGGCGTTTGGAACTCAGCTCCAGCAACCGATCCCCACCTCCGGCAAACAACCGCAGGCCAGCAGCCATCGAATCCCACGTCGGGTGTTCCAAAGGCAACGGACGGCTCGAATTCTGGAGGCAGTTCTGGCCAAGGCACCAACGAGAACTCGCCAAGCAGCTCAACGAGCGCGTCCAGTCCTCTATCCACCGGCGCAATCGCAGGCATCGCGGTCGGTGGCGCCCTCGTTGTTATCATAGCAATCGTTGCGTTCGTGTTCCTGCGACGACGTAAGAAGAGCACCGAATCTACGCCACCCACCGAGATGACCCGGCCGAGTCCGAGCCGAGACCAAGCACTGCTCGACAGAGGCGTGACACCCTCAGCGAGCCATCCGTACCCAGTCGAAAAAGAAGGAGACGACGGGTTCACACAGCAGTTTCCTCCAGCACAAGACCACCGGCAATATCTTTCACAGACGTCGTCAGGCCTGAGCGATACAGGCGAGCAGTCGGACACGCTGGGCGGGTTGCCGGATATGGATGATATGAGGAGGTTGAGGACGGTCGGAGGGATCAGGGGTGCACCGAGCGTCATGACGGACATGAGCGAGACTCTGACGCTTGGCGGTGACGGAGAGGTGGATGACATTCATGCCATTGGACATGAAAGGTGACGACGGATCTAGGGCAGGAGCGTCCGTCCCGCCTGGCCAGGGCAGATCTCAAAGACTGCGCACGGGCCGTGTCTGTCTTGACTCCCTCGGGAAGGTCTGAAATTGCAGTGCTGTATTAAATTCGTCAACTTGTTCTTAATTACGCTCCTCGTCCCAGAGGGATGTGATCTATCTAAACTCCCAACCACCGGTTTTAAATCCAGTTCAACTTGCCTCTTCTTTCCTGGACAGGGGAATCCGAATATAACTTGAGAACGCACCCTGACACCCAGCCAACATTGCCCCATGCGCCGATGCCTTTGGGCCAATCAAGCAGAAGTCCCGGGTCTGAAAACAAGGTCACGGTGCAAAACGCGCTTAACGCCAGTCAACTTCCAGCATCCAGAGCGGCCTTGACTTCCATGCCACCTGAAAATAAGTAGAAATCAACGCCCCGGCAACGACCACAGGGGTGAGGTATCACGAGACGGGGAGGAACTTGAGGAGGCTGGGCTTGGAGGGGATGACGGGGGCGGAGCTGGTTGAGGGGTTCAGGCCGGCAGTGGTGAGGCCGGAGGCGGAGGAGAGAGGAGGAGTTGTCAGCCGTTTGTAGGCGGTGGGGAGTGCTGCCTTTCCCCCACGTCAGACTTCCATGTGACAAGGTTTCAGATTGGAAACAACCTTGAAAAGTGGGACAATCTCCACGGAGCCCGGGGGTTAAAGCCAGAAAAAAAGGGGGTGCCAATTAGTAAAAGCCACAGGGCGGGTAGCGTAGTGGTCAGCGCATTCCTAAGCGTGAAGTTTCCAGCGTTGATTTATCTCCAGCGTTTAGCGAAAGACCCGGGTTCGAATCCCGGCCCGCCCAAACCCCCTTTTTTTGCTGGTGGTCAGCACCGTGATAGCCTCACCAAACCTAATAGTGGCTACTGCTAGTGTTAAGAGCATCGTCATCATATTGTTTACGAGCTGAGCCCTTTTCAGATGCAAATCCTGATAGAGAAACCTGCGACAATCGCTCGTTCAGACATCGATCAGTTCCAACCAATACCACCCACATCCAAGGGTCTCGCCCACGACCATCTACCCCCCCCACCCTCTCAAAGCTCCACCTGAAACCTCGTCATCCCTCTCACTCTATGCCCATACGCACCCAACAGCATCGGTACCGGCGCAAAGCCTAGCGCAACAAACGCCAACAAACTATTCCCCCACCCCCACCCCAACTGCCGGTACATATCCAACGCTCCCAGCGGCACAAGCGCCGCCGCAACCCCCCTCACCACCGCCATCGCGCCCACAGCGCTAGCTGCATACTCCTCAAACGTATCCATCAGGTACGTCTGGACCGCAATAAACACCAATATCGACCCAAACCCGTTAATCGCCGTGCCAACCTGTGACACGACCCAATGCAACTGGTACTCCACACTCCACCCGTAGATGAACAGACCTATCGGAAACGCCAAAGACCCAGGGAGGGTGATTATCAGCGGGAGACGGTCCTCAGGTGTGATTGTCTTCCCGGAGGCCTTGCGATGCTTGAGAGTGCGGTCGCTTATCATGCCGATGTAGGGGATTCCAACCAGGGTGCCGACAGAACCGGCGATGAACACGAGGCCTGAATCGGAGGTGGAGAAGTGGTAGACGGGTTGGAAGACGAAGGAGTAGGTCGAGAAAAGGAGGTAGAGGGTCGAGTAGAGGACGGCGATGTAGGTGCAGAGGATGGTGACAATGGGACGGAAGAGAAGCATTTTGGTTGGGCGGGAGATGGCGCGGGAGAAGTGTTCGATGGGGGTGATGGTTGGAGCGAGAGAGGAGCGGTAAGAGGGGTTACCGGTGGATTTTCGGAGACTAGCGGCCTTGCGCTCGAGGATGACGGAGTGGTTGGTTTCGTGCAGGATGAAGAAGGCGAGGAGGGTGACAAGGGCCATCTAGGGAGGGCTAGTTGGGCGAAGTTAGAGGGGTGTCTTTTGGGACTTACAGCCATGGCGAGAATCCAGAACATCCATCTCCAACCATATTTCTCAGCAACATGGCCACCAATGATCGGGCCTATCATCGGGCCGAGGGTCGTGCCGACGGACCAGACCGACACCGCCCTGCCTCTCTCCTCCCTTGGCATCATATCCGCAATTGTCCCTGAACCGTTGGTGATAGTAGCAACGCCGGTAAAACCGGACAGAAACCGAGCCGCCAGGAGCATTCCTTCATTTGTTGAGACGGCACACATGATGGTGAAAATGACGAGAAGGATGTTGGTGACATGATAGACGATCGCGCGACCGTAGAGCTCACTCAAGGGTGCAAGGAGAAGAGGGCCAGAGGCGAACCCGAGGACGAAGATGGAGATGCAAAACGTTGCGAACCATGTCGACGTGGTGTTGAATTCTTGCATGACGAGTTCGACAGCCGGCGCCAGCATTGTCGAGACCGTTGGGCTAATTCAGTCAGCAAAGGAGTCGCTATGGCCGTTGTGATAACTCAAAGAGGCACCTTTCATAAAACAAGGGGGGCCTTACACAAGGAAGCTGACGGTCGAGATGACCAGCACATTGGCCCATTTCCTCCAAGCAGGCCAGTTCAACGGATTTGCGGGGTTTGTATCCTTTGGGTCCCACCCAACGACAATGGGAGTAAGGCCCTCCTCTGCCATGCTTTGATGCCTGGTTCCGGTCGGAAAAGGCGTCCAAATCTGTTGCTCTGGCCTTTTTGACGTTACTGAAGGCGTCCTTGAATGCCAGTTGAAGCTTTCTTGGATGTCACTGAGGCGTTGTCGAATGACAGTTAAGGTGTAGTTTGTTGCAAGGTGTACATTCAAATTCTCTCTTTGCTTGCACAAGACGCGTACAAATTGGACCCGACGCGGTGTTAATTGTGCGAGCAGATCTTGTTGCAGCCAATGGGCGTTGAGCGTGAAACAGAGAAACGTGGTTGTGGAAGGAGCGAATGGATGGCCCCTGAGTGATACAATACCGCCTGAGCAATCCGATTCACCAGTTGTGTGAAGGCGAACGAGTCATCGAACTCACATATCAGTTTCGGTAGGATGAATTCCAATCATCGACTGGTCGGGCCTTTGCGTTGCAGTCTGTGGACGTGAGGGGATTTCGAGGTTGCTGTCCCATCTAAGCTCGCCCGCTGCGTTGCGAAGATTGAGGCCTATTTGCTGAGGCAGACATCGTACGACGGTTCCCTCCAGGCCCGCCGTTGTGAGCCGAGAACTTGTTCGACACGGCCCGGTTCTGAACGGGCAGTTCCAGGTATCTCACGTTTAGTCTACCGAACTCCGAACCCCGACTCGGGACCCCTGACACGAAACTGCTTAAACCGTCACGCTCCAATGCACCAGAGCCCTGATGATCCGAAGCAGCGCAAACTGAGATGGACGCCAGCGCTATAGTTTATACAACAGAGCCCTCCAATTTCCATCCAACTTATTTGTGTTGAGATATCCTTGGGTGCAGGGTACGCAGATAAATGCTTGCTCGCATGCGTATGCCCTCCTCAGTCGTAATCTTTTCCCACTCCCTTTTCATCTCCTCCCTCGCCTGAGGCCGGAGATCTAAAGGAATTCCCCCATATGTCTTCCCCGACGAGCTCGTATCCAGCCAGTCAATCATGACAGTTGGTTGGTCTTGGACCCGATGGAGCGTGGAATTGACGAAGACGACGTCAAAACTCCCTAGGGGAACCGGGAGCGGTCTTCGGCAACGCCCTCATAGAACGTGAGCTTTGGTTTGGTTTTCTCTTGCACGAGAGCAATGCGCTCTGTGCTGGGGTCGATGCCGATGACGCTACCGGCCTCCCCGACAAGATTGGCGACGTGAGCTGTGAGATTGCCAGAACCGCATGCTCGGAAGGAAGAGATGGGAAGAATGAGATGAGACCCATTACTCCCGCCCAGTTCCCGTCCTCCATCAGGTACTCAGATGTGCAATGCGATGTCCAAGCGGAGACCGTTGTCAAGCATTCTTCTTTCCAAGGCCAGCGTTGCTGATTCCCCCAGTAGTGAACACCGTGCCACTTGGACTTCGATAGGCCTAGGTGGTTTTCAACCAGGCCTAACGCATCTAAATTGACCTAAGACCCTTCAGCAATCGCCTTTGAACCCTCTGGGTGGTGCTTGACGGGTCGGGGCTTGCATACCCGAACCTTCGGAGTGTTTGGCGTGCTCGCAGCATCCACACTGAGGGAGAGCACTTGCCCGGCATCTGCCAAAGCTCATCGTATCCGGGCGAAATCCTCTTTGTGGGGAGAAGTGTGCGGGAGACAGGCGATGGAGCGGGTAATAGTGGAGATGGATGCAAAAAGAGTGCCAAGTCCAGCGAATATGGCATCATGGATGCGCCGTGTTCGTTCAAACTGACGAGGAGGCTCGCCGCAATAGCCGTGTTCAGGAACTATATCGCTGCTGCAGTCGGAGATCGCGCAAATGTCAGCGACAGAGAAGCAGAGCCCCGGGCCTCGCGCGAGGGTCAGGTGGAGTCCGGTTGATCAAGAATCCCTAGCTATAGGGTGAGGATTGTGACTTCTGCTTGTAATCCAGGGTACCGACCTCTGAAGAGCTCGTTCCGTTATCGGTGAAGTTGTTGACAACCACGGAACGAAAATGGCTGGGAACGAATATGACTGAAGTTTCAGAGCATGTGCCATGATAGCGACGGGACGAACTGCGAGTGACATCGTGGTCTTGCTGCTCGCGGTTCCCTACGTGACTCATAAGACCGCCTCGGGCTAAAAACTGGGCCCAGGGCAGTCCCCAACAGGGCACCCACCTGGGCAACCTCCTCCACGTTTGAACTACCCTTACCCAGCTCACTAGCGGCGTCGGTGGCTCTCATCCCGACAACGGCGTCATGTGCACGTCTGCCCTCTTGTGCTAGCCAGCATGTGATATTCACTCACGTACGTGCTTCTGGTCTTCGAACTCCACTGCAAAATATTCTGAGCGAAAAGCTGGCCCCCTGAGCGAGAAGCGTGAAGGGTAAGGTGCGGCTCGTATGGGGACGAAACGCGAGGGTGTCGGCTGCGCTTTCCTCCCCCTGGGAAAAGCCAATATGTCTCCCAGGTCCTTGGGAAGGGGCTTGTTCGGAAGTCCTTGCGTTGCGGGAGCCGTTGCGGGGCCGTTTTTTTTTGAATGGGGGCGCCCGCCGAGTAGGATCCCTTGGGGAAGCACTGCCTTACGTACTCGTCATCGAAGTGAGCTGCACCGAACGGCTTTGTCCTCAGGCCCCGATCGAACGCTCCCCAGGGCCTCCAGGACTCTCCGTCAGGGTGGCGACACTCAGCACGCGCGGATCCACCAAAAAGCAACTATATCTCATTCTAGGTGGATGTAAATGCGAGGTTTATTTTTGGGGCGTAGCGCGGTCCGAGTGAGGCACTCTAGAGGACTGAAGCGGCCCTGATACATGGGATGCTACGGTGTGCGCAGGCGATGGGGGTTCTCTGCTCCCAGACACGATCACCCAGTTGTAACTGTTTTCCGCTTTTATTTCAAGCCGGTTGTAAAATTTGTTTGGTTTGTCAGTTCTTTATAGTAGTAGATCAGCAGGGCCAGTAGATGGTCGCGCAAGAGAGCTTAGGTGAAAAGAAAAACACGGTTAGAATCTGAATGATCTCTCCTTGCCTAGCACACCTGATCACTCGACAAGATATCTGCGGGGATATCTCACTTGTACCTAAGGTACCAGATGTACCTGGATATTTTCTCTGCAGCAACCCGAAGCCACAGTACGCCAACCGCTGGGCGACCGCATCCGTTATCTTTATTTCCTTCAGGCTCCATAAATTGGCTTTCGCGATGACGTTGGCAATTAAGTACATGTTTCTTCTGCTCACCGCTACTCTGACCTCAGCGTGGAC